AGACGCTGAGCAGACTGTGCCGAGACCTGCTGTTCCCAGGGGCGGGGGCGGGGGCGGGGGCGGGGAAAAGCAGGGGAGGAGGAGATGGAAGGAAGGAGGATGAGGAAGGCAAAGGGAAGGTGATGTAGAGAAGAGGATGGAGAAGACGCGGCGGGCGAGAGAATAAGAGAACAGGAGGGTGGAAAGAGGAATGGAGGGAGGTCGGAAAAGAGCAAGAGGGAGGGGAAAGGCCAGATGAAAAAGCAGGAGGACAGTAGAAGAACAGGAAGAGAAAGAGGGAAAGGTGGTGGGCAGAGCGGATGGGAAAAAGGAGCACCGGGGAGGGAAAGAAGGACGAGGTGCCAAGAAGAGGAGAGAGGAAGGAGAAGGGCAGAGGGAGAAGGAGGGCGAGGAAACTAGGCAGCGGCAGAACTCATGCTGCTAGCTTTCGGCCTCCAGCGGGGCTGGGCTACAGACGCGGCGGTTGCTCCCGCAGCGCTAGCACCGCGGAGCTGGTGGTCGGGCAGGGCCAGGCCGGGCGGCCTTGGCGGTTCCAGTTCCCCATGCTCGGGGACCCAGGCTTGCCCCCCATGCTCCGGGACCTTGTCCCGGGCACTCCTCAGCCCTGAGATCAGTACTGCTCCCTCCCCACCCCCCTTCCCCGCCTCGAGGACAGGTGGGGGGTGCAGCCTCTCAGCTGCGGAAGCAACCGCGGTGACTCCGCTTTCTCTCTTGAGTTGCCAATGGCCCTGGGGAACCCCTTGAGGGCAACACCAAAATCTACAACCTGCTTCTTCTTGCACCTCCCACGCTTCCGAAGCGGGAGCCTCCAAGGGGCCAGGTCTTCCGCGTGTGGGCACCCAGTGTGTCCTGCGCATGCGCCCCGCAGCCGCGCCAATGGGCCCTCGGACATGGAGCATGCGCGAAGGCCCCGCCCCTCAAACCTCCTTCAAATGGGAGGAGCGTTTCGAGGGGGCCTGGCGCCTGCCTCGATGGCATTGGCCCTGGGACCCTGGCGCCCAATTTCGAAAAGAACCAATAGTTTGGAAACATTGGAGGCTCGTCTCTCCGGTGAAGTTTCGGCCAATATTCAAGAGAAATTGAAACTTGTGGTTTCCATGTTTTTTCATCCCCATTGCAGACGTTCTTACCACTGTGATCCATACTCATTTCTTAAATCCCTCATTTTGTTGGTCTTTGTCTAGAAGGACCGCTTTCTTTTTTTTCTTATTACCCATTTGGATACACTATACCAAAGGAAAGAGAAAACTTAATGCAATAATGTGGAAATAAAGAGAGTCGAATGCAACTACTTACAGCTAGTAAGGAATACTCATGTCCATCTTCCAAGCATCATTAGTTTCAAGGATGGTAGGAAAAGTCCTGAAGAACCAGTAGCGGAACCAATTTTTTTTTTCTTTCTAGAGTTAGAGACCCCCCTAACAATCATAAATGGCAACGTCTGAGGCCTGGGATGATGTATTTTATTTAACAAGTTCATTGCAGTTACTGTGGGCTAGGCACTGTAAGAGCTTTAGAAATAGTAACCATTTTAATCCTAACCACTTGAATGACTAGGGGAGAAAAGGTCACCTTGTTGTGTTAACATATATAGCTAGGAAAGTTAGGAAATATAATAATTATCAAATTGGTTTCAAAATTTAGCAACAATAATTTTGTCTATCTCTTCAATTCCTCTGTCCCATATTAAATTTGCCTAGCCAACCCTAATCTTATTCCTCAAATGTTTATGTGTTCTGCATAGGAGAGTTTTGAATGTACCAAATTAAAGATGGTTTCCATTAAATTACTGTATTTTCCCATCAGCTGGATTAAAAACTGAAGCTCTATTTTGAATCAATGTGTATATCTTCTCTTTTCTGTAGTTGAAAAAAAATGTTTTGTTTTGTTTTTAAAGATTTATTTATGCATACAGAACTGGGGTACAGGCCAGAGGTGCAGGGGCCGCGAGAGGCTTCACCAGAGACAGAGTGGGGAGCAGAACAGGCAGATCATTGAAGTATACTGCTGAGGGAAGCAGCGGGCGGGCCAGGAGAGGTCTGCCACGCCATGTGGTCTCCTCCGGGGCAGGCGGGAATCGAACTCATGAGGAAGTGGCCTTAGCTTCTCAGTGCTGTGCTCTAACCCGCTGCGCCACCAGGGAGGGCCCAAAATGTTTTTATTTTTAAAGATGTCACCTTTGGCATGTGTATTCATTAGAGAAAGCAGTGTATTCCTTAAAGAAATTGTTTTACAATACAGATAGTCTTTAAAAATGTGTTGTTGAGGGCTCTCCCTGGTGGTGCAACAGGTTAAAGCACCACACTATGAAGCTCTCAGAAGCCACAACAGCAAGAGTTCCATCCCCGGCCAGGGAGGTGACCCACATGGCATGCAGACCTCTCCTGACCCATCTGCTGCTCCCCTCAGGAGATCTGTCTGTTCTGTTCTGGTGAATCCTCTTACCCACCATATCTCTGGCCTGTACCCCAGTTCTGTAAGCATAAATAAATAAATAAATCTTTTTTTTAAAAATGTGTTGTTGAAGTATTTTTCATTTAAAAAATATTTTAATGATTCTAAAAATAGTTTGGGGAGGTATGGGGAAGGATGGAGTAGCTGAATTACTTCCAGGTCTCTGAGACTGCTTTTTGTCCAGCTGGAAAGCCCATTATTTTGATATGGCAATTGTATTGTTCATAATATTAGTAGATAATGGAGAAATTACTTTCTGTTCTAATCATGAGTTTGGGAAACATTGTTAACATAGATAACACATAGCTAAAAGCAAACTATTCTTGCCCTCAGTTCTAAGGATTTAGAACCTGTTAGAACATGAAGTCCTCTGATTCCAATAAAAGAAACAGTATTCTATTTAGTCACAACCAACAATCAGAAACCCCATTTTTTAACCATTTCTGCATAGTAAGAATTCAGCCCTCATTCATCCATGATACAGAGACTATGAAACTAAGAGGTCCCTAAAGAAGTCACAAGTGCTCACAAAATTCTATATGATGGAGGAGACTACACAGAGACAGAAATCAAATCTAGGACCTGCCAGACAGCCATAAGTCCTTGCCATGATTTTGTCTTAAGTCAACATCTGTTCATACTGCACAAATTCCCCCAAAGTCTGATTGATGAAATGTCGCACACACCATGTATCAGTACCATTCCCTGGTACTGATAATTATTTTCAGTGATTCCACCCAGACCAGACTTTAGCACATGGGTCCCACACAAGAAAAGACTGCTTTGCCTCAGCTTTATCCATACTTTATACTTGGCATAGGGTACAAGGTAATGAAGAACTGTAATGTGCAACCAGAACTTGTAAGTTTTAGTGAATTTTCTGAAACAGATGCCCAACGATACCAGCTGGCCCCCAGAGTTGTGTACAGCTAACTTCAAGATCTCAATCACCAGTTCACCGGGTTGTTTTGCAGCCTGAAGCTGTAGGACCCTCATGCCAGTTGACAAGCAGCTGAAGAGTGGGACTTTCTCAAACATTATATGGGCCTTCTCTTCAATCAAAGGCTGCATTTTTCCACTGGGTTGAAAATACCAGCTCCTCATGTCTCTGTTGCTGGAAACCTCTCTCTCTTTTTATCTCAAGGTCTCAGCAACCCTCCCTCATCTGCTCAAAAAAAGATTAAAGTACATTGTATTGTTCATAATAGCTAGTCATTTGTTGACCATATGCAAAATTCCTAACTCTGAGGAATAAGCAACTTACTAGACTCATAACTTTCAGGAGCTTAACAATTAGGAGAAACAAGAATATGTAAGAGGAGAGATGCTGCCTTGGCTACATTTCTAGATTTTATTCATATCATTCTTGCCTACCTTGTTTCTTTTTTTTTAAGATTTATTTATTTATGCATACCGAACTGGGGTACAGGCCAGAGGTGCAGGGGTGGAGAGAGGATTCACCAGAGACAGAGTGGGGAGCAGAACAGGCAATTGACTAAGTACACTGCTGAGGGAAGCAGCGGGTGGGTCAGGAGAGGTCTGTGGTTCCATGTGGGTCACCTCCCGGCCAGTGATCTAACTCATGCTGAAGTGGCTTTAGCGTCTTAGTGCTGTGCTTTAGCCCACTGCACCACCAGAGAGGAACCTCTTTTATTTTTCATGTAAATCTTTTGGGAAGTTTGGGTGTGCATGGATTGTATATGTACTCATATTTGACTTGCTTTTGTGATAACTGAAAGTTAACATATACCTTTGAAGTTTCCATGACAACCAGTAAAGAGCTAATTATGGCATGTTTATGGGACAACCTTTGTAGGTAAGAAACCTGGGATAGATGGTAGCAACCTGAGACATACCTACCAATAGAGGAGTAGCATAAATGATAAGGTACAGAGCTAAGCAAACCAAGAGTCTGAGATCATGCCATATTGTTATGAAACAGGAAGTGTTGATCACAAAGCAGACTCAAGGTGGTATAATAACAATGTATGGGTATAGATCAGAATAAGTAAGAATAATTTATTTTTTAATTAAGGTATAGTGGACATATAACATTAGTTACAGGTTTACAAAAATTATCTTTTTAACTATTACCTTTGCCTCTGTAGTAGAATTCTTTGCTTTCACAATACTTGTTTCTTTATCATTCCAACTTGTTTATATACTATGAGTCCTGTTTATATCTTTACTGATTTTGGATTTCTGACATGTAAATGCACTTTAAAGAGAATTCTAGTAATCACTGGAAATGCGCTGCCATTTCATGTGTTTTGTCTTTTTCTATTAGTACCTCCCTTTCTAGAAACGCTCTTAGTTGCTCTTTCCTTTCCTCTCATTTGATTATACTTATTTTCATAGTGTTATTGTACTTAAATTAAAAATTTTAATATATGTAATTCCTAGGCACGATAAGAAATTTTGACTATTCATTCCAAATATATCCAGCAACCTTATTCATTTCTTTCCAAGAATATTAACAAAGCTTTGTAGAGTAAAATAAGCAGTAAGGTGGAGGTAAGATCTACCTTTTTTGCTGGTTCTCCATATTTTTCTGCTATTCATTGGATTTAGACACTCTGGTCTGTGTTTAACCATTGACTTCTGCTTTCACCCTTACTTAATTAGCTGTAAGTACCACCTTTCCAGGTAATGGGAACACTAACAGTGGTTTCCAGAAGCTTGTGATATCTGCTCAGATTCTACTTCTACCTAATTATGTGCCATTAATCTCTCTAGAATGTTATCAACTATAAAACAGAAGTAATTTATCTATTTTACAAGATAGCTGTTAAGGACAGATTGTGTAAGCCTGCATTATTCATAAAATAATTTAATAAGTATTTACTGAATGCTTATGTGTACAGAAATCATTTTTAAAGAAATACCCACTGGCATGTTTTATAATTTGAATAAACCCTCTGGGCTTTGGTTTCCTCCAAATGGCACTGTGGTAGTACCTACCACACAGAAGAATTATCACTCACAGATCATATTAAATCCCATCACATATTTAAAGTGCTTAAAATAGGACCTAGCACAAAGTAAGTTTTCCCTAAATGGTAACTATGGTTAACTTGTCGCACATCAAGAATGGAGATTCCAAACTGTCCTCATGTTTGGGGTTTATGTAAATTAATTTTGCCTATCATAATTAAGTTTTTCTTATTCCATTCTCAGAATGAATGAAGTGATTAATCTTTCCTGCCCTAATTTGTCAAGAATGGTTTCAAGATAATCCCATTATTTTAAAATTCACCACTTACTAGCTAAACAAGGTGGATGATTTAACAGATTGAGATGAGCATATAAAATCTTTTTAAACTGTAAAGCGCTATACACTTGTTATGAATATTTTAACTAATTACTCCCATTTCACTAGTTTCACTTGCCTTCTCTGCCAGTTCTCAACATGGTTCCTAAAATGTAAGTGTGGAGTTAAAATTGTAGTACTCAATGTGGCTCATTAGCTGTGGTGAAAAATCCCAAAAGAGCAGTTTTTAAAATGTTTTCAGCCATGACAGACTTATGAAGCAGAAACAACTGATTCAGATGGATACTAAGTGCTGAGATACTTAAGAAAAAAGCCTCCTTTATTTATCTAAAATATTTTCTTTAAATAGCTTTGCAGAGCTAGATTTTTTTCAGTGTAAAAGTATGCACTGTCTGATTATGATATAAAACACACACACACACCCCTACACACACACAAGCACACATACACAGAATACAATGTTCTTCTACACAATAGGTTCAAAGGGTTTAGCACGGCCTCTAAACTATTAGGAGTGGTTGAGTTTTTTCCCTGAATTGAGGTTGGCGGGGTTTTTTGTTTGTTTTTGTTTTTGCTTTTAATTACAAAGGTGTAGTGTGTCAGGATGGAAAAATTCATCATAGGACCTAACAAGCTTGTTGGTTTCCATCATAGGGAATAGGCTAACCAAAACTGAAAATTGAGTATTAGACATTGATCCAGAAAGGACAGCGTGCCCAAACACCTTATTTCTTCCCACTATTTCTTTTCAAAATAAGGGTTGATTAAACAATTGCAGGGTTAACACAGGAGCAGAAGCACAAACGCAGTAAGAATGCACCAAGGAGAGAGCACGGAGAACTAACTTTTGGGGGAAAAAGGTGGCTCCTTGACCGCGCATGCGCTCCTAGAGTAGCTGACGGAGGCGCCTGCGTTAAAGCTCATTGTTCGCGCAGTAGTCAGGCGTCGGTGCGCCCCACAAGGGGCGCATGCGCAGAGGGGCGGCGCAGAAGAGAGTCTGAAAGGCTGCAAGTTGTAGTTTTGTTTTGATCGGCAAAACTGACCTGAGTTGGCTTGGATGAGAAAGATAAAGGAGGATTCGCAGAGGTGGATTCGCAGAGGTAATTAAGAAAAAGACGTTCCTTATTTTCCTTCTAGGCTTGGAGGTGAAGAATCTCAGCATTAGGGACCAGGAGCATGGCTGTGAATGGGGGTGGGGGGGTAGGGGGGTATTGGGAGGGCGGGTAGGTGTCCTGCCCCACTTTTGTGCCCTCCTGTGTTAGGTATGCTGGCTGCAAAGGTGAGCACCCCAATGGTCTAAGAGCGCCCCATTTTTACTTTTCTCTCCCCCCCCCCAGTCATTTCCCTACCTAGTCGACTTGTCTGTATATGAAGGACAGCCACAAAGCTTGGAGACAACCCAATGAAGTGACTTCTGCCTCAACATGGACAAGGCACAGGAGAAAATGGAAGTAGACTTGGAGCTGCTGTCGAGTGCCACCACCAAAGAGGGCAACATCCTGAAAAGATCCAACAGGGAACCTTGGATCTGTGGGCTCGGGTGAGCTGGATTGAGATACGGAGGAGGCAAACAAGGGGTGGGTGGCCAGAGTTGGAGAGGGCGACTCCCCATAGCATTTTCACCCCTTTATTCATCCACGTTCTGCTGGTGTCCCTTGCCCTGCGGTTGGCATATTTTCGAACCTGAACATTCATCCTCTTTGACAGTCCATCAGGACCTGAAAGCAGCAACCAATTCGTGTGGAGCACTACTTTTTCTAACTTCACCCCCTGTCTTTCTTATGCATTTGAAGAAACTGAGCACTCCCACCCTTACTTCCAGTTGCGGGGCGGAGGTAGATTTTTGTCTTTGCTGCTTTGTCACCACTGACTTTGACCTCCAGCACACTCTTGAGATGGAAATGACTGTCACAAGCAAATAATATTGGGCCTTTTCTACATATAGGTTTTACTTGAACAGAAACATGATTACTTAAATTTTGTATTCAAATTGTTTGATATTGCCCCCAACTTGTTTCTTGGTGGTGGGAGGGTGGTTTGAAAAAAAAAAAAACTTACACTTTTCTTTAATGTGCAAAGCATATATATGCATAAAATACATACACAGATATGCAGTATATCTGTGGTATTAAAATTTCGTGGGAATGTTCAAGAGAGGGAGCACTGGGGGAGGAAGGTGCCTAAAAAGGTGCCTGAGTGGGCTGATAATGAAAACAAAGATTTAGAAACATTGCCCTAACTGATAGCTAAGTGTTATTTCTGTACATATCTGAAGTTCTGGCAGTACTCAAGCTTATTTCTTAAAATGGAATTTAAAAGTGAGATACTGGATCTCACATCCCAATATATAACACTTTCTTCATACATTGCAAAGATATTTGAAAAATTGATACCAAATGATAGATGCAATTCACAAGTAGGAAGGAACTCAGATCAGATCTGCTCTCAATATTCAGCATATGAAGAAACCGAGGTCCCTAAACCCCTAAAAAGACACAGTTGTAGGGCCAAGGAATCTGTGTCTCCTGAGCTAGTGCTTTGTCCACCGTTAAGCAGCATTTAAGCTAGTGAACGCTAAACAAAAGCAGTTTTCTGGCTACTTGAGTAAGAGAGTGCATTTCCATAAAAATGAAAGCAAACTTAAGATTGATCAAAAAATAATATTCCCTTTTAAATAAGCAGATAGGAATATAGGCTGGGGGGGCTCAGCATGTTGTATTGAGAACAACACCATAAATTCAGGCTTTTACTCTAAGCCTGTTGTGAGTAAACTGTTACGGTCCCACTCTGTTAGAAGAAAGCAGTTGGGGAGAATGTTTTTATAGCAAGGGTTTATGAATGAAATACACAGCATATAGATGATAGAAGAATGTGTTTGAAGGAGAACATGGACCCTGTTTAATAAGTACTGGGGAAGGGAACCAGGCCTGCCTTGCCCAGTCCCCAAAGTCCTGGAAGCAATGAGAAATCATAGTTAATGTCTTTATACTTCTGTAAATGATTTAAATTTTTAATTTTGTTATATCAGAAAATAGTTAAGAGTGTTGAATTCTGTAGTTTAAGAACTTATAGTGAGGAGTTCATACCTTGTGGTCCTGTTGTATGAAGTGGAACTTGTACAGAAAAGTGAGGGTAGTTGCATATTAATCAAGTACAAGTTGAAGATAAGGACACACCACAATGTGGACAAAGCCCGAAGGCTTGTCTATTAAAAAGAAGTAACATAGGAATGGTAGACAACATGCCTGAGGTCAGGGAACATTCCCAAATGATCTCCTTAGGGCATAATTTGTGCTCATGTGACCAGACTAGTATATAGGCATAGAAGTCACACTGCAATAAGAAAAATTTAGAGTACAATTACATTGAGTTTTAGTGCAATTTGTTTTCACCTTGGTTCTCTTCAGGTGTACATGTACTGTTCACTTTAATCATTTTTTCCCCTAGTTGGGCCTCCAGCACTTGCTTCCTTGTCTCACTAAATATTGTTATACTTAAGTAATTTTCCAGTTTTGTTTGATGCTTCCTCTATGTAAAGACTCTCAGTCTCTTTTTGTACCAGGCTTTGTTTGTAAAATCAGTTCCTTAATGGCAACATTGATACAAGTATTACTGCTTTTAAGAAGTTGCTGTACTGTTCTGTGTACATCATGTATTAATAAAAAATATCAATGTCAAAAATTTTGAACCTCTTGGTTCTTTATACTCTTTAGTCCTTTATAGGCTGACTGCACTACTGGTGTCATTAAACTTTATTTAAAGGTAGTAGATTTTTCTACTAATTCTCTGATGCTTATTCAACTTAGAGATTAAGTTCTTGGATTTCTGACTGTGCCTTCTCCCCTTAAGCAACTTTAGCCTGATCCTTCCTTTAATCTGTTACTGCCTCAATTCTATTTGAAAGGCAAACTACTCCTGGGGGTCAAATTTGGCCTGCTGCTTGGTTTTGTAAATAAAGTTTTATTGGGACATAGGTATGCCTATTTGTTTACTCATTGTTCATGGTTACTTGCTCACTATAAAGGCGGTGAGTAGTTGCAATAGAGATTGTATGACACACACAGCTCAAAAATTTACTCTCTGTCCTATTGCAGAACAACTTTGCCAACCATCTGGTTTATTAAACTCTTAAAGATCTGAAAGAATAGTGACCCTGAACAGTGACTGTTTTGGGAATATAACTGACAGCTGCTTACTGATCATTTAATGTGGCACACTGAACAGTTACTTAAATTACCTTTTCCTTTTTGCAAGTTTATAGCACTTTACTCAGTTCTAGATATCACATAGGATTTTTATGAACTCATGTTGAGTGACTTATGCTAACTGAAGTATATGCTGTTGCAATTATTTCTTTCACTGTTTATAAAAAAGAGCAAGCAAGCGCTTGAGGGGGAATATAATAGCCAGCTTTAAAAATTATCCCCACAGGGCCCTCCCTGATGGTGGAACAGGTTAAAGCACAGCACTATGAAGCTATCCACAGCCACTGCAGCACAAGTTCGATTCCTGGCCAGGGAGGTAGCCCACATGGTGTGGCAGACCTCTCCTGACCCACCAGCTGCTCCCCTCAGCAGTGTATTTCAGTGGATCGGCCTGTTCTGCTCCCCACTCTGTCTCTGGTGAACCCTCTCACCCCCCACACCTCTGGCCTGTACCCCAGTCCTGTATGCATAAATAAATAAATCTTTTTAAAAAATCACCCCCCACAGAAAAGATAGTAGAAATATATAACTCGTTAGTGTCCCTCCGACTTCCTTATACATATGTCCTCTCATAAAAAACATTGAGTTACTGCCCGTTCTATGCAAATTACCACACAGCAAAGTTGTATCTTAAGGCTCAAAAAGCTTCTAACATAATAAACAAATATATGGTAGAGTAAGATCTGTACTTAGGGAAGGAAAGAAAGTGCTAGGGGACTTCAAAAAAAGAGATGACAATGGGGTTGGTGAAGATGAAAGGAAAAGGTTCTAGGTGAGGTAGTGTTTGAAATGAGTCCTTACTAATCAAGCAGCTGCAGACTGCAAGAAGGGGCTCGAGAGCCAGAACAGCATTCTAAGTATATGGAATGAGCTTCAAGGCAAAAATGATTAAGTGTGTTCTAGAAAGTTGGTCAACTGCCTGCCTCTCCAGCCCCCACGTTTGTCTACTGACCAGTGCTGACCCCAGGTGATGTTTGCATCAATCTATGGTTTTAAAAAGTTAAATATAGCACACTTGGGGCCCTTCCTGGTGGTGCAACGGGTAAGGACCCAGCACTGCAAGCTAGCGCAGCTGCTTCGGTGCAAGTTCAATCCCTGGCCCCGGAGGTGATCCACATGGCATGGCAGATACCTCCTGACCTGTCCGCTGCTCCCCTCAGCAGTGTACTTCGTCAGTCGGCCTGTTCTGCTCCCTGCTCTGTCTCTGATGAATCCTCTCACTGCCCCTGCACTTCCGGCTTGTACCCCAGTTCTGTATGCATAAATTTAAAAATCTTTAAAAAATATAGCACACTTGAATATGTTAATATAGTTGCCAATCATCCTTTCCTGGGCAGGACTTTACTTTATTCTGAAGTTGGTACTCCTACTTTTAAAAAAATGCCTAAATGTCCTTTCATAAATGAAACGATGGTTTTATATACATTTTAATGACCTTACTTGGTAAAAGGAAATGATAATGAACGTGTTTGTGCCAACATTTTGTTTTAAAATCGTCCTTATCCATGAATTCCAGATATCATCTGGAACTAAATCATGGAGGGCTTTGAATATCATAGCAAAGGGCATCACTAAATTTGGAAGGTACTGAGGAGAATCAGAAAGTTTGGAGCTAGAGACCAAGCTGTTCTTCAGGAAGGTGGGCCTGGCTTCCCTACTGAATCACAGTAGGGAAAGAGCAGCAGGGAGGCTCTTCTACAATTAGACTATTTCGAGTCTAATTGGAAAAGTAAAAAGACGTTTAATTGGTTTTTGGCAAGGAGTCTAGAAAGAATAAGATAGATATAAGTGAGATTGTAGAGGTAAAACCTGAAAGACCTGGCACCTGATCAAATATAGGTGGGAAAAAAAGTTAAAGATGATTTTACCTATATGAAAGGTACACAGGAATCCTCTATTCTTTTTGCAACTTTTTGTGAGACTTAAATGCTTTCAAAATAAAATACTAACAAAAAGAAGACAAAGGAGCAGATGACTTCCTTCAGGCTCATAAGCTTCAGCAGGACCAAGGCCAGGGGGGTGGGCACCATCAAAGCTGGACATACAACACTCCATCTTCAGTGGACAGTGCTGGCCCAGCTTTAGTCCGTCATTGCCATGTGGGAATATGGCCCAGTGTGGCAACATCCTGCAGTCTTTCAAAAGAAGCCAGAAATCTGGAATCTGCATTATTTATATGAAACCTCTCAGTATTTCAAGTGTGTGCAACTAATTTAAAAACATTGTAACACTGAGTAGACCAAATGTAAAAATCTCAGTTGTTAGCTCGCTATTGGCTATTCCTCTTACGTGAAAGCTTGGGAGTTGAGAGGGAATTGCTCTCAGCACACTGTAGCTCCAGTCATAAATTTAAAAGAGTTCCAGGTTAACACAGAAAGTGATGTATTTCCAAAGTCACAATAAACTATATTTATTCTTGGTGGCATGCTTAGAGGTAAAGGGGCATGCTTGAGAATTCCTTGCCTTTCAGGGAAACTGGAAACTCAACCAGAAAGGCTTTGTGTGTTTGTCTTTACTTATTTATTTACATCACCCTTCATTTTGTGCATTTTTTCATCTCGGTTGTCATGCCTGTGGCCTTCCCACCACCAATTCACCCCTGTGCCATTGCCGTCGTCCCGTGCTCTCTTCCCATCCCGATTTTGATCCTGTCCCCCTCTCCTCCCAGTAGAATGCCTCTCGTTTATAGTTGTTTGTTGTTTTTCATTTTACTTTATTACAATTGCTGTGTGTGTGTGTGTGTGTGTGTGTGTGTGTCTTAACTTCTATGTCTGCCCTGCTCTCTCCAAAGAAGCCATTTACATGAATGGCATTGCTATTTCAATATTTGAACTCTTATTTCTTATTCAAAAACTTTGTAATGGATTTTCTATGACAAATATTTTCTTTTTCTTCTTAGTAATGATTCACAAGTGTTGCATGCTGAATCATTAAAAACTAGAAGAAATAGTACAACATTTGTGACACCACACTGTCCGGTAAGAAAATAGCATAAGACTTGTTCTATTATCCTTAACAAGTGGTTCCCCACCTTGAGCGTATACCTGAAAGACTGGTAAAAATATAGACTACTGACTCTCAACCCAGAGTCCCTAACTAAGAAGGCCTGCGGCAGGGCCTGAGAATATGTATTTCAAACAAGTTTCCTCTTTGAAAAACACTCTAAACATCACTGAAGGAAACTGACTTCAGTTATGATTGTTTTGCTGCAGCAGAATTAACTTTCTAATCCCGTGTGGATTTAACATTGAGATTTATGTTTATTTATAAGACCATCTGGTTTCCAAGTTTTAGAAGAACACTCTACTTTTGAAAGGAAAGTTTACAAACTCTCTTAACCTTAGTTTTCATGCTTTTAGGTTAACAATTATCTCACCTTTATACTGAACTGGAAATAGTTTATTTTTCATGATGTTATAACATACACTCATCATCACATAAATTCATAACTCATATCTGCTCATTATCCTGTAAACATAGGGAACATGTTCCTAGATCAGTAAGCCAAAGTAAATAAATGATACACTATATGAATCTTTTTATTGAGGCAGCTAAAGCCACCTCAGCATGAGTTCGATCCCCACCTGCCCCCAAGGTCACCCACATAGCCAGCAGATCTTTCCTGACCCGCCCGCTGCTTCCCTCAGCAGTGTACTTCATCGATCTGCCTGTTCTGCTCCCCACTCTGTCTCTGGTGAAGCCTCTCACTGCCCCTGCACCTCTGGCCTGTACCCCAGTACTGTGTGCATAAATAAATAAATCTTTAAAAAAAATAACCAACACTTAGACATCAATCAGAGTAAGTAACAAAATACTACTAGAAGCAACCGAAACCAAAGGGACATTTATTGTCTCAATAACCAGAAGTCTTGAGGAAAGGACTTTCCAGAGTTGGTTAATTCGGTGTCTGAGTGATGTCTTTAGACACCCAGGTTCCTTCCATCTCTCCCCTCTGTCATCCTCAGCAACCTCAGTTACCTTTATAAGTAGTAATTAGACTCAGTGTTCAGAATCTTAGGTATAGCACGAGCTTACATATAATTACAGATGTTGAAAGTATACATATCAGTTATTAGTAGTTACCTCTCACCCCCTGTACCTCTGGCCTGTACCCCAGTTCTTGTATGCATATATAAATAAATCTTTTTTTAAAAACCATGTATTTCAATGTAGGTAAAATAGCATTTTAGAAAACAATTGCTTTGACAGAGGAGTTGAAGAACAGTGGGTTTCACTTAATGCATAAATAAAGATGTATAATTTCCAAACCTTCTAAAAATCTGTTATCTCACAATTTTTCTCTTAATTAAGTTCAAGTATTTTCTTCACCACTATCAGGAATCATTGTATTCAAACTGTTAAAGAGCAGAAACCTGAGGTCATCTTCTGATTATGGAGTCTGTGCCTTCCTTTCAAGTAACCCCTTTACTCCTGAGAACTCTGAAGTTGGCATGCCAGTTCCTCACTCTATCACTAGGAATTCCTTCCCTGGCACTTCTGTTGAATTTGGTGCAGTCCAGTCTTTTCTCTCTCCTTACCCTGCTCTATTCCAACAGAAGCAGGAGAAATGTCTCATCTTTCTGTCAAATGATTCTTCTTTTCTTGAACAATTCATCCATTATAATCTTAATAGCTACTTTTACTTATCTTATTAGGCTTTGTTTTTCACAGTGACCACTACAAACTCTAACCCCAACTTGTGGCCCACCTAGTAGTGAGAAGGATAACATGTTCCTGGCCTTGCTTTATGCCTATTCCTTCTACCCTAGATTTAGTTCATTTTCAGTATTGTCATAAGCTACCTTTACCACATTTCAGGAATTAGGCAGAGATGTCATAATGTAGCATATAACTCTTGTTTTATTTCTAGTAAATGCAGTAGGAAGTGGGCTAAATATAGTAAACCTAGGGGGCCCTCCCTGGTGGCGCAGCAGGTTAAAGCACAGCACTAAGAAGTTTCAGCCACTTCCGCATGAGTTCGATCCCCACCTGCCCCGGAGGTGACCCACATGGTGCGGCAGACCTCTCCTGGCCCCCCCACTGCTCCTCTCAGCAGTGTACTTCGTCGATTTGCCTGTTCTGCTCCCCACTCTGTCTCTGGTGAATCTTCTCACCCTCCACATCTCTGGCCTGTACCCCAATTCTGTATGAATAAGTAAATAAATCTTTTTAAAAAAAATAGTAACCCTAGGAAACTTAAAAGTTATTTTAAACAATCTACTATCTTTACAATTCTTCTCGATGACCTTGCCTTCTACCTTCATTCCAATCACTGGAGACGATGCTTGGGAGTTGGCTTCACCCAGGACCCTCCCAAACTCCTCACTCTGCCTCACCACTACCTTTGACACCATTCCTTGGCGCTGAGACTCTTGCTTCCAAGACTCACAAGCACTTTTATTCCTGAAAGTATGAGAGAAAGCACAATAGGAAATTTCCCCAAGACACTAGTGAGGTTTATTCACATTTCAGGAAACTATTTTAATATGTTGGTACATGTAGAAAAATTGTCTATGATAATGCCCTTGCAAACACCATCTGTAGGATGTCATCTTTAGGGGAGTTCTCTTTTGAAAGATTTTTTTTTCTCTAAATGGCTTTCTACATTATTACTCATATAATCATTCAAATTCAATATTTTGTCCAATATAAAAACATTTTTGTGGCTTGTAGTCCTAGTCAAGTCATACCTATTCCAAGTATTTCATAGTATATCCCTGTTGAGGTCATCAATTTCAGTTAGGCAGTCTTCTCCGGATTTCCTGGATAAAGTTTTTCAGAAAAAAATTCTAAACATTTGCCTAAAACTAAACCAGTTCTTTCCCATCCCTTAGATATCAATTAAAGATAATCTCTTCTAGGAAGTCTGTCATAATTAGAACAGTTTGTCACACCAAGCATTTCTCTCTTTTTAAAAATAACATATCATAATACAACAAAACTGTCATAATTTCTGTAGATAGAGTATATGGATGTATAATTAGTTTAGGTAATATGTTTTTCCATTTAGGTTATAAAACTTAAGTGTTTTACATTCTTTATTGAGAACTTTTTGGACATTTGAATGATGACAATACATGCATCAGTAGCATTAATTAACCTCCGTAAAATTCTGCTTGTTCATAAGGATGTGTGTTTGTCTGTTTGAGGGGTTTTGTTTTGAAGGGAAACCTAAATTTTTCAGATTTGGTACATGCCATTCCATAACTTCTCAGTGATCAATGCTAATAAAGGGGAGCATTCGGGGAGAATATTCAGAACTGTATATAACTCATATTTTCTACTTGCTTTGGAAAGTAATTATTTTTACAGTATGTCTTAAGAATGTGCATAAAACTACTTTTTAAACTACTAATAATATCTAATATTAGAAAACCACAAGGCTCTCATGGAAAGTACAAGCTCATTGGAGAACAGATTAAGGACACATCCTTATGACTCAGAAGTTCAAAATCTGTGAATACATATCCTAAACAATTCATTAAGGTTATGTACAAAGACTAGTTTAAATATTGTTCACAGTATATGAGCTATCACAGCATCATTTATAAGATGAGCCAAAATGTGGCAACAGGATGAATGTCCAACAAGGAGTAGCTTCAATGAATCTTCATTATCTAGGTTTGAATCCCAGATCTAGCAATTACCCACTGCATGACCTTGGGCAAGTTGCTTAATCTCTCTGGCCTCATTTTTCTAATCTTTAAAATGGAGACATTATTAATAATGTTGTGAGAACTGAGTGAGACAAAATATGTGTGGCACATAACAAGTGCTTATTATTATGGTACAGTATATAATGATAGATACATGTAGCATGCATTTGTACAAAACCTATAGAATACACAACACCGATAGTAAACTTCAATGTTAACTATGGATTTTGGGTGATAATCATGTAAGTTCATCTGTTATAAGAATTTACATCCTTGTATGGCTTTTAACAAGGGGGGAGCCTCTTTCTGTGTGTAAATGAGAACAAGAGAAATATTTGTACCTTCTGCTCAATTTTGCTGTGATCCTAAAACTGCTTCCAAAAATAAACATCTAATAAAAATTAGTTAAAATAACAGGCCAGATAGGGAAAAGAATGAAGAATAGGTAACACATCCTAGTTTTATAAATCTACCACATATAATCCAAGTTGTTGTTTATAGCTAATTAAACATTGAATTCTAGAAGTGTTTGATGATGGTGGTAGTAATGGTAGAAGTGATAGTAATAATCACCATTGACTGAGCATATGCTATGTGTGAGATGCTGTGCTAAGCATATTACATGCATTATGTTCATTGTTGCATTTAATATAAATATAAATAGATGCTTGAAAGAGCAGCTCTTCATATTGTTTGTAACACTATCCCGTATATCCCGTATAGCAGCAAATCATACAATCATTATATATATATCCCGTATAGCAGCAAATCATACAATCATTGTATCCCTTGAATGTAAATATTATCAAGAAAAGTTTGCCTGACTTTTGTCAGGCCTCAGGAGAATTTTTTTTGGAAAAGCCATCTGGAATGCGGTTAGTATAAGCCAGTCCAAGTTCCTGGTCATTCTGTAGTCTATAACTCTTCCATTCTTCTTTTTATTTATTATTTTTTTTTTTTGGTACTAAGGATAGTGGCTTATTTTTTTTTTTAAGATTTATTTTATTTATGCAGACTGAATGGGGGTACAGGCCAGAGGTGCAGGGGTGGTGAGAGGATTCACCAGAGACAGAGTAGGAAGCAGAACTGGCCGACTGACAAAGTACACTGCTGAGGGGAGCAGTGGGTGGGTCAGGAGAGGTCTGCCACGCCATGTGGATCACTTCCAGGGCAGGGATCGAACTCATGCTGAAGTGGCTTTAGCTTCTTAGTGCTGTGCTTTAACTTGCTGCACCACCAAGGAGGGCCCACTTCTGTCTTTTTACCTTTCTTTTGGATAGAAACTGAACCAGACTCAGTGGTGATGAATATCTGAGTATGTCTATTCCAAAAGTAAATGGAAGGCACTGTTAGGTACCATCTGCTCCTCTATGTGTACCAAAGTAGGTAATTTTCCCGCAGTTCAAACTTTTTGAGTGTGATACTCAATCTCCAGTGTCTTCATTCTCTTGGCCTCAGGGTCTTCTATTCTGCTCACATGGGACTAATAATCTTTCCTAAAACATGCCAGGCACTTTTGTCTTTCTTTGCTTAGGCTGTCAAACTCCTCATTCTGCAAATGCCAGTTCCAATGCTGCCCATACTTTTCTTATCTCGCACCCCTACGCCCATTCACTTAGTCCTGGTTTTTCATTCCTACCCTGCTTTGCCTCCACCAAGCACTCATTTCCTTTTCTTTTATACAACATTTGCTTCATGTCTGGATTATAAGGTCTCTGCAGATAATAACTCTGGCTTTTTTCTTTTCCAGTTTAATCTCTCCTTCCTCTCTGAACAGGATAGTTTCTTAAATCTTATAAAGAGTCGATAAGTATTGAAATACTTGTTAGCCCTGTTTAATGATAATGACATGTTATGGTGAATTTTAACAGTAATTTATACGGAATACATTTCCAGCTATCCACATATACATTTTCTATTTTGACTTTTACAACTTTGGCTGTTTCCTCCACTTTCCAGTAAATGATTAGAAAAAGCTAAACAATTTTACTATTTTCTTAAGCAAAAGATAATTAGCGAGTTAATATGCCCCTTCAAAAGTCATGATACATTTTAAAACCTAATAAATCCAGACTCTCTACATTGTAAAAACATTCATCCTACATATTCTTGTGCCCACACACCAACCTATCCTACCTGCTACCTTCTTGGCCACCACCAACTGTTGCTTTGTGTTAGAAGCCCGAGACCCATGTTTTCTCACTCTTTCTGATCTGTTCTTCAATCTGACTCTCCTTCATTCCTTCCTTTCTCATTCAGACCCTCATTATCATGTATGTATGAATCCTATGACCCTGTTTTGAGTCCCTCTCCTTCCTCCCTCAAAATTATTCTTTGTATTCTGGTTGGGCTGCCTCTAAAACCCATGTGATCTTGTTTAAAGGTGAAATACCTTTGAGTGTTAATTGAGAGTTAGCAGATCACTTTTCAAAACATATACATATTGATTCATTGTTTTATACTTGAAACTAATATGTTACATATCAACTCTACCTCAATAAACAAATTTCATCCAAGACATTTTAAGCTCTCAGTGGGAGTGTTGTTGGGGTACCTACCCCAATATACTGCACTTACTTGGAGCTCCATCTTCTTCTATTCGTGGGTAGTGATGGAATTTTTGGTTTGGTAAAGTTATCATTTTATGTAATGCATCAACATAATAAAATCTACTTATCAGAAACAATAGAACAGCCACCTCCTCCTTTCCTGTAGCTGAGGAATATTGTTACATCAGACAAACTAGAGATAAACGAATGCAACATTATGATTAACAGGTAGAGAAGTTGTCTTATTTTGAAAGTGAGAAGAAATAAATTCTGTCATGGAGTTGTTTGTTGATATTCAGTACTTATGTAACAAAAAAGGCGTCTGATTAAGCTGAAATTATTATCCCTCAGATACTATGATATTACTTTACTTCTAGATAAAGTTCTTGGTGATCAACTTGAAGAAATGATGAAAAAATTAAGATAAATGAAAGTCCATCAGGTCTTAGTCCACGTAGTGCATGTGTAGGCAGAAGGTGGAGTCTTTTGTTATAAAGATGAATTGATACACAATCTCCCACTGGAAAATCAAAGTCATCCACTTTGACCATTTGATCCTGTGGGATTCCACAGAAATAGTTCAAACCACAATAATGCCATTCTTGCTGACATTGCAGAGACCCAGTAGACTACAGAGGGGGAGGAGTAGGAAGAGGAAGAACTCCACATCTTTAGAATCTTAAATTAAAGATGTATGAAATGTCCCTCACTCTAGCTTTACCTCCTCCTCAAACTCGGCTCATGACTATATGGAAATTTAAAAAACAAAACAGAAAATCTTTGAGGTTGAAGAACTTGGGGTGTCTGTGTTTTAGGTTTACTGTTGGGCACATAGGCCAATGTCCAACAACTACAATTTGGTTTGAGCCAATTTCTCCCCAAAACTGACTTTCTGGCCATATGCCATGGCGTGTACCATGATGTTTCAGCCACCCTGAACGCGCCTCTGCCTGAGCGTCTCTCTCTACTCGCTGAAATGCTCTGCCTCCTCTTCTCTATCTAATGACTTCCTAACCCCTCTGTGAAGCCTTCTCTAATACCGCAAGCCAGTTATCTCTCTCTGACTGCCCACAAATAATACCTCTGTTCTGGCACTTACTATGGCCTACTTTCCTCTACCTAGACTTTGAATTTCTCAAAGACTGAAAAAGGTCCTACTTTTAGATCCTCAGCCTAGCACAGTGTTTTTAGCATATGGTAGGTGCTCATTAAATCTTTTTGACTGCACAACTCAATGTCCTCTTTAAGATACAATGTTAATACAAAGTAAGGTAAATTCACTACCTGTTCTTTCAAGAGGTAACAAGGATGCAAGAACATAAATTCTAAAGGTAATTTTCAAGACTCATTTTACATTTGGCTTTCAATCCCTCCATTCTTTCATTTTTCTCTTATCTGGGTCCTCAAAGCTTTGAGAAAAGACGAAAAGAAAAAAAAAAGAGAAAAGGCCTAGACAACAAGTCTCTGAGTAAGCAAGAGTAAAAATATGCTGTACTACTTGAAAGTGACTGTCTTAGGTCATTCCACACTATGAAAGTTTGGTTTCTCCAAGTAGATTCCAAGATATTTGTTGCAGTTATTGTATGCTTCTTTTGTACACTTGGAAAGTTAGCTGCTGACTTAATGACTTTCAGTCTTTTCTGCGCAGTGCCTATCACTAAGCTTTAATGATGGGCTTAAACTGGCAAGAAATGAGGTGATTTCAAGATCTAGTGCTTTGGAAAGGGAAAGATAAATAAAATGTTTTATTCTTGTTTTGCCCATATTTCTTACGTTAACAGATAATCTTGTTATTTTTAGTGTGTGTGTGTGTAGGGAAAGAGTGAGAAACTTGATTAATTTTCAGTTAACATTCAATTGGAGTTTTGATTTTTTAAAAATTTGAAACATGCATTAAGCACTCATATTTTAGATAATTCAACAGTGACATAATTTAGAAATAATTAATTAAAACATTAAGACAAGCTTAACTTCTCTGTTTTAAATTTAAATTTTTACCACCTTCTCCCTTTCAGACTTCTATTCGTCGTCTTCAGCAAATCAAACAGGTAAGAATATCTTCAATATGAACATCTGCACATTTAAAAAATTAGATTTCATTTTATTTTTAAAAATATGTCTGGTTCAGTAATTCTGAGAAAGGTCACGTTTGATTAAGTTTTTAATTCTAGGAATGGCTTCTCTAAAGCAAAACAAAACCAAAAGGAACTAAGAAACCCTGTGTTTATTGGGTTAATAGCTATTTTAATAAATTGTTGGTTTCCAAAAATACCGTGTACTCTTACTTTGAATCTAGCTTCTTTGGGAATCTCAAGAAGACTGTATATAAAAATTAATTTTCAAGTTTTTTAAAACCCCTCAGATCTGACAGATGAAAATGATCTGTGTGTGATTGTTCTGTGTCACTTCTTTGTGATCTGAGTTCAGGGACATTCTGTACTTCACTGGCTTATGTTTTGTGCATGCGTGTGTGCGTGTGCGTGTGTGTGTGTTTGATAGCAAAAGCATAAAACAGAATTAAACCTTTTAATTATCCAAGGATTAGCTACAGAACTCAGAAGGTCAAATCACCACTCCACCACAGGTGGTGGGATTTATCTTGACACAACTACAAGTAGACTTATTCAAGGGGGTGGTGCTTAACTATTAAGAAGCATTTATTATTTTCTTAGCATTATAATAGATACCCACATCTGGGGTCACATTTCCTCTCACAACATCCTTGTAAGGTCAGGAACTAAAGGGTGGGGAAGTTTAGTAATGAGTCCAATGTCCAGAGTTACTGGGTGTCAGAGCCAAGATTTAGTCCCAAATAACTGAATTCTTTCCCATCTTCCCTTTCCCTGCTTTGACAGCACAAAAGCCATAGTGTCTTGTAATCCTGGCCTCAGTACCTCCAGCTACAGCTTCCCTTTCCTTGCTCCCTCTCACCCCTATTCCCTAGAATAAAAACATTGATTTATTATTAGTGGATAAAATACTCTTACTCTCTTTGTCTTTGTGATTGTATATTTTAGAAAGTCTTAATTGACTGAATCTAAAACTAGAAGTCACAGCAACTCTGGCTTATCTGTGCAGTTTGATTTGGTTTGGTTTCTTGGACTTCCCCAAAATTTATAAATTGACTGTATATCGCTATTTGATATGAAATTTGAAATAAAGACTAATATAACTTTGGTTAGTAATATGAACTATAAAGAAACTTATTTCTCTGGTGACAAAATATATATTGTAGACATTCAAAATGAAATGTAAGTAGAAAATGAGTGAAACAGGAGAAAAGAAATAACATTCACTTTCAATCTAGGTACGGAGTGATGAAAAATTAAGACTTATTTTTAGTAGTTTTATGGTCTCATAGATATCTTTAGTTGTGTGTTTCATTACATGCATTCTATAACCATTTTTTTTGCTGTTGAACTGATAGAAATGTGCATTTTATTATATTCTGAATGTTCACTCTAATAATATGAATGAAGGCATTCACCTGATTTTTCAGTGAAATGGGGGGAAATAATAGCTATTTTAGGGGGCACAATTGAACACTTTGCTCATAGTATTTTGCTTTGTAGCCACACCTTTTTTTCCCTGACTTGTTAGATAGCATTTAAAACCATTGGTACTCAGTAAGAAGTTGTCTTTCTCTGTAGTATCTTAAGTAAAATCAATTTTTAAAATTATCCACTTCTAGCATCCCTTGTGTTTAAATCTTCACAGATACCAACTTTAGTAATATACATTGCAGTCTTCTTTTTATCTTACCTACACTGGATTGATTAAAGAGGGTTTAACACAAATGAAAGGAAACGTGATGAGATAAAACCTGTTAAGATACATTATACTGCCTAGAAACCAGGCATGATTATGATAGGGAAAATTTAGATATTATCTGTTATAGATGAAGTGTGTTGGAGCATTTTCTTTTGCCTGCCAGGTTTCACAGTTGGTCTAACGGACTTCACCATTTTTAATCTAATAAAACAATGGCATTAAGTTTCTATGATATGATTTTGAGTTTTCCGTGGCACTGCTCAATACGTAGTCTCTTTTATAAAGAAATGTTCTCTAAGAGAATAGCCTTGTTTGTTTTAGAAGTGATTTTTATTTTACTTTACAAATGCTTTCATACTTTCAACAATCATTTATTGAGTACTGTGCCGGCACTGGGCAGCTGAATTCTTTCCGGCATACTCCCCTTCAGAGAGCTAAAGTGGGTAATTTAGTATTTACATTGTTTCCTTGAATTTTAAAAAGCTTAAAGCTAACTTTAGTACTAAAGTGCAGCAACTATCCTTACCCTATGTTTATAGCATACAGGTGTCCTTGACAGTTACATGGCCCTTAACCTTTTATCCTTATTTTAGTGATCATTTCATTAGAAACAATCTCAAATTTGTTTTGGAAATAGGGAAAATATAACTGATAAAAGAGAAGTGTCTTCTACTAACAATGCTCAAAAGAACTAATGTTGACTGATACTTCAACTTTTTAAAAAGTTTTTATTGAAATAATGGTGCAGTATAACATTATATTTTTCCAGTGTCCATTATTATAAATCAGTGTTTGCATATACTACACTAAGTTCACCACTAAATGTTCAATTCTGGTGTGCCACAGACCTCTCCTGCCTAGCCCACTGCTCCCCTCAGCAGTGTACTTCGTCAGTCAGCCTGTTCTGCTCCCCAGTCTGTCTCTGGTGAATCCTCTCACCACCCCTGCACCTCTGGCTTGTCCCCCAGTTCTATATGCATAAATAAATAAATCTTAAAAAGCAAACAAACCAACAAAAATTTCAGTTCTACCCTTCATACAATTGACCCCTTTTACCCCACATATCCCACCCCCCCATCCCATTCCCTTTTGGTAACCACTAATTTGGGTCTCATAGTCTAAACTTTTTTTTTTAATTTGTTTTACTTAGTTCATTTGTTTGCTTTGTTTCTTTTTGTAGCACAAATGAGTGACCTGATGTGGTGTTTGTCTTTCTCCATTTGACTTTTCATGAATAGAACAACAAGCAAAATTCTGTCCAAGTTCTAGGGAAACTTGTTCTTATTGATTGAGTTACAAAATACTTAGAGCTTCTCACAAGAAAACATTTACATAAATATTAAATGGGAAAATTATACTAACAATTACATTTGGCTGAAGTTACTGATATTCCATTGCTTTAAAAAACTGATTAACTTTTTAACCTACCTTGCCCAATTTCCCTCATTTTTTCATAACGGCATCAAAACAGTTATAGTCACACAGTTTGAAAGCTCGAAGCTCTATGTTTGGGTCCTCCCTGGTGGTACAGCGGGTTAGGATGCAGCACTGCAAGGTGGCTGCAGTCGCTTCAGTGTGAGTTCGATCCCCAGCCCCGGAGGTGACTCACATGGCACGGCAGACCTCTCCTGACATGCCCGCTGCTCCCCTCAGCAGTGTACTTCATTGATCTGCCTGTTCTGCTCCCTGCTCTGTCTCTGGGAAGCCTCTCACCACCCCTGCACCTCTGACTTGTACCCCAGTTCTGTATGAATAAATAAATCTTTTTTTTTTAAAGCTCTATGTTCATCTTTAATCCTTATTTTCTACTGTATCCAATTAGGCATCTAATCCTATTAATTCTTCCTTGACAACATCTGCTTTGTTCCCACGGCCACTTCCTTCTGTCCTTTGAGTCCAGATTACTGCAATAATATTCTAATACATTTCCTATCTTTGCCAGTTTAATCTGACTTCCACAAACAACACCAACATAACTTTCTAAAACTACATTTTCAACTTTTTCTCTCCTCTGCAAAGCTCAGAGTGGCTTCCCATTCCCTACTGAATAAGAAGAAGAAAAATAATAAATAGCTAGGTTGTATTTGCACTATGAGCCAGGTACTGGGATGAGAACTATACTAATAGCTCCTTGTCATTGTTATCATCATCTTCATATGGATGAAGAAACTGAGACTCAGGTTAAGTTGCTTGTCTGAAGTTACACAGGTAGTAAGTTAACAAAGCTGGGATTTCACCAACAATTGTTATTTTCCATATACTTTAAATAATAGCTAGTGTCATTGGTAGGATTTAGTATCTCATTTTGCTTTTGATGTGCATTTCTCTAATGGAAAATGATTCAAGGAATTTTCATGTGTTTATTGGTCGCTTGTATATCTTTTTTGAAGAAATTTCTGTTCAAATCATTTGTGCATGTCTTGATTGATTTGTCTGTATTTGTTGTTATTTTTGAATTGCAGGAATTCTTTATATATTCTATATATTAATCCCCTGTTACATATATGATTTGCAAAAAACTTCTCCAATTCTGTGATTGTCCTTTTACTCTCTTGATAGCCTCTTTTTATGCATTAAGTTTTAATTTTTTATGAAATCCAACTTAATTTATTTTTTCTTTTATTATCTATCCTCTTGGTATCATATTCAAGAAATCATCACTAAATCCAGTGTTGGGAATCCTTTGCCCTATTTTCTTCTAAGAATTTTATATTTTTAGGTTTCATTTTGAGTTAATTTTCATATATGCTATAAGGAAAGGTTTCAATGTCATTTTTTTACATGTGTCTGCTCATTATTCCCAGCACCATTTGTTGAAAAAAACTATCCTTTCAACCTTTGTTGAAAAAAATCAACTGACTATATATACAAAGTTTTTTGTTTGGACCATTCTATTCCATTGTCTATATATCTGCTCTTGTGCCAGTATCACACTGTTTTGATTACTGTAGCTCCTTAGTATGCTCTAAAATTACAAAATGTGATTTATCCAAGTGTATTCTTCTTTTCAAGATTTTTTTTTTTTGACTATTCAGGGTCCCTTGAGATCCCATGTGAAATTTAGGATGGGGTTTTCCCTTTCTCCAGAAAATGTCTTTGAGATTTTCATAGAAATGGCACTATACTTGTAGATTACTTTGAATAGTATTGCCATCTTAACAATAATAAGTCTCCCAATTGATAAACACAGGCTGTGTTTTCATATGTGGGTTATTTTTAAAAATATGTGGGGCCTCCCTGGTGGTATAGGGATTAAGTCTCAGTGCTATCACCACTATGGACTGAGTTCGATCCCCAGTCAGAGAGCTGATCCACAAATGGCACAGCAGACCTCTCCTATCATACCAGCTGCTCCCCTTAGTAGTATGTTTCAGTAAATCTGCCTGTTCTCCTCCCCATTTCATCTCTGGTGAATCCTCTTACTTACCACACCTCTGGCCTACACCCTAGTTCTTCTATTCATAAATTAAAAAAAAAACAAGCAAACAAATAAATAAGTCTTTAAAAATATATATAACTGTGTGGCTCTCTCTGGTGGTGCAGCAGGTTGGAGCGCTGCACTGCGAATCTAAGCCAAGCCATGGCCCCTTCATTGCAAGTTCTATCCCTGCCCTGCAGGTGATCCACATGGACCAGCAGACCAATCTTGTCTCACCCATTGCTCCTCCTAGCAGTGTACTTTGTTGATCTGCCTATTCTGCTCCCCATTCTGTTTCTGGTGAATCTTCTTGCCATACCTATACCCCATCTTTGTATGAATAAATAAGTAAAATCTTTAAAATAATATATATTACTATATGAAAAATAATAATTTCATGTTCTTAAAAAATCAAACAATATGGAAAAGTACAAAGACTGAAAGAATAAATTACCCACATCTCACTACCCATTGATTAGTTATTGTTATATTTTGGTGATCATTCTTCTGAATATGTCTCCTTTACAATTTTACATGAACAGAGAATTTTTTTATTTAATACATATTTTTCAGTGTCAATGACTAGATTTAAATCATTTTTTAACTAACGTCCATACTAATAAACATTTACTTTACTTGGGATTTTGAGTAATATTTGTTAGTATCATAGTATTCATGATAGGAAAATAGTATATTGACTGCTTGATATTTTCTCTTTTGAGTGAAGAAACATATAAAATATAATCAGCCCCTATATAGCTTATGGACTATAATGTATAAGTAGTATGTAATAAATAATACCTTGGGATAGTAGGTTCAGTAAAAAAAAAAAAAAAAAAGAGCCAGATACTTGTTTAGAATTCCTTGTATACTCTAGTTCATCTGAAATCAAACTTTATAAAGCCCATAGGAACAGTACATTCAGTTTATTCCCATGTTTCTGCCTTTCAGGAAGAAGCCATGGATTTAGTAAACAGAGAAGTAGCGCATGAGTGGTGAGTATTATACTTGGAAGTAAATCATTTGTATGTTCAGTTACATCTTACCTTTTAAATCAGCAACTTACAGCGCTGATGTCTTTTCTTTTGCAGGGAGGTACAAGCATCAATACATATAAGTCGGTCTTGGGCAGAACATTTGAACCTGGTATGGTATTAACACTTCAATTTACAGAAAATTTGAAATTTTTACTCAGTGTTGGCACTGCCTAGTTTCCTTTCAAATGAGAGCTAGAAACCTAAGCTGTTTGAAAACAAATTATATATGTTGCATAAAAGAGTTCTAATTGTTCTTCAGAAACTGTTTATGACTTCCCCGTAAAAATAATTATCATTGTTTGAAAGTAGGGTTCAAAGGAAATAGATGCAAAACCATCACTGTTGTAGATCTACTTCCTCTCTGCTCTAGTGGGCCTAAAAAAGTTCAGTTGTGCTGGTTAAAATGCCTAGATGACAAAATAAATGATTGCACTCTCCTACATAATTTATTAACCCAATAGAATTTTAAACCACAGATGATGGATTTACTAGGTCAATGCTTTATTTCCATGCCTTTAACACATATACTCCCACTAGCATTTTAACATCTAGCCTTTAATTTAAACTTATGGAATTGAGTTACATCCCTTGTTTACATTTTTTAGTGTTTCTGTTTACATTATGGTTACTTAGTTGTGGTAATTCAATGATGTTTAGGGCTTCTTTCCATGAACATTGCAGATCATGACAATAAAAACTGAGGTGAAATTTGAGTAGAAGAGATTTTGGTTTGATGTCAAATTCCAGATCTGTGGATTATTAGATAAGGAAATGGGTCATCAACAGAAGCAGTAGCATCTTATTTTCCTTTGAACCCAAAGTGCCTTAGAAGACATCTTTGATTTTGGATTAAGTCCTGGAAAATGAGATAACCTCCAGCACTTATCACATTTCATATTTTGGTGCTAATAGGACTTATAGATGCTGTTGGATTTGCTTAAATGACCTAATTCTAATTACTTTTGGCACTGGAGTAAGTGAGTGGATGAGAGCGTGAATCTGTGTGTTAAGAAGAACCAAGAGAACATGTGTCTTGGAAAAGAGCACATTTTTAAGTCTTGAATTACGCAGTATTGATTTTGTCTGCATAAAACTTATGAACATTTCTTTTAGCTGCAGTTATTTTTTGTTTTAGGTCTAACCAAATCCTTCTTGATCCTTTAGTGGACATAGTACTGTAGTTTTCAATAGTAGGTGAAAGTTCAAACCCAAAGAGAAACATTTAAATTTAGGGTTAGTGTATATAATAGGTTTTGTCAACACTGAGTATGTGCCCACTCATAAATCGGACACACTCAATGTGTCTGATTCTGAATGACAGCTCTCCCTTCCTTCTCATTTCATAAACTGTTATTTACATATAACAAAAGCCACCAACTTTGAAGGCAACAGCTGCCTCCCTAAGTAATTATCAAGTAAGTAGTTGGTGCTACAACTGTGTTGCTTTCTGCTTATACAGAGTGACCATAACTTAGAGCAACCATCTGCCATAAAGTGTGCCGATTCAACTCCAGTATCCCCAGCTTCTTCCATCAGGGGGACTGGGAAGGTAAGAAAGGAGTGCCTAAAAACCCATGTCCTTTGGAATACTTCTGGAATGTTAATGTTTCCCCACCCAAATCTTATGGGGGATATGTTTTGTTATAATGTGTCCGATTCTGAATGACAGCTCTCCCTTCCTTCTCATTTCATAAACTGTTATTTACATATAACAAAAGCCACCAACTTTGAAGTATGCAGTTTTATGAATTTGGTGATTTCTGTGCCATCTTGTCACACAACCATAATCAAGGCCTGGAACAGTTCCTGTACTCTAAACTATTCCCTCTTGGTTTTTTACTCTTAATCTTCTCCCTGCCCCCCACCCTAATAATCCACTGATTTGCTTCCTGAGAAAAGTGGTGGTTTTAAAACCTCTGTTCCAATTTGGTTTTAGCAGTGTTCTTCTCCATCAATACAAACTTGTGTGAGTTGCATCAGTTTGCCTTCAAGTCCTAAAACCAGTCCTACACGACAGTTCACAATGTAAGTCTATGTTCTGTGAAAACACCAAATTGCTTAGAAAGTAAGAATTTTTGGAAACCTGATAGAAATTATAGCTCTAGGTTCTGTGACAACCAAAGAAATAATGTCTTTTTAGCTAAACTAAAATGTCATTTTGATATATCATTTTTGTATACTAAAGAAAGAATCAAGCCATTGAAAACTTGTGAGGGCATGAGTTTAGGAAGAATCGGTAGTTCATTATCTGTTTGAACATGGTCTTCTCCTGACCAATTGTTAATAAAAGATCGGAGAGAATTCTAGCACTTTAAACTATGGAACCTACTCATTCACCTCTGAGTCTCACCTTGATTCATGGTGTATGATTGCTGGCTTTTTTCCAACTTGGGAAAGTCCTGAATCCTTGTGAATTACAACAGCTTACTGTCCTGAGGCTTTCCTGTTCGTACCCAGACTTAGGGAAAAGCAATATAATGATGTTAAACCGCTACAGACTTCTTTTAGTGCATGCCCTTCCTTACCTTACATGTATTGTAATGAAATTGTCCTGGCTGCCATTGTTGTTCATTTTTCTTGCAATGATTATGATGATTTTATTTTAGAAAAAGAAGTCCCACCAACATTCTCAGGCCAAGCACCCTTGGACTATTAAAAAGAAAAGGTACTTTTATCTGCCAGTGGGGATAAACATTAGCTTAAGTTATTTGTTTTAGAAAGGTCATATAAAATCAAGTGCTATATAGAAATTCATTTTATTACTTATTTATTTTGATGAAGGAACAGAGTGAGGCAGCCTTAAGTCACTTACTCAAGTTACATTTTAATTAGATATCATGCTCTCTCTCCAAGGTCCTCTAAAAACTTATCTGCACTTTTACAAAGATTTATGGGCTTTTCTCCTTTCTTCCCACTATTTTCTCCCAGTGAATTGCATTAAATAAACACTTATGAGATGGAAAATTTTTACTGCTTTAAAGCAAATTCCCAGAGGGCAGCACAATGTTATATAAATTTGAAGACATGTTTATTGAAAAAAGAAAACAAGTATGTGGCAAAAGAGGACAAAAAGATTATGTAAAATGCATCACTGGCTTGTTTTGTTTGTTTTTCAGAAATCCATTTTAAAGGATTTGCTTATTTAAAATATATTTGATAAGTTACTAGAGAGCTTTCATTTTACTCAAACAGAACTAAATAATTTTGAAAACTATAAAAGGCATATAAATATGAATTGAGAAATTTAAGTCCAGTTTAGTCAGCTAGTAGGATTTTCATTATGTAAGTATGATCTACCAATCAGCTAGCTCTGTCTTCAGTACCTCCAGAAACAAGGTGGGAGGTGAACAAATGAACAAAGAGACTGAGTCAGTCAACAAGCATTTTGCTTCATCTCAACCCTGGCCTGCTCTACCTCCACATATACACAATGATATCGTATGAATGGTGTGGTACAAATTAGATGCACTTACAATACTGGATATACGTGCTAATGGATATGTGCTTTGATGTTTCACTTTTTATGGGGGTTATTCTTAGTAAAATATATGGAAAGTGACCCACCTACTCAGTAATAAAAGGGCAGTGGAAAAGAACTGAAAGGTTTGTTGTTGTTTTTTAACTCTCACAGTCCGGGATCCCATTTCTCAACCCTGCTTCACTAATGTATGTGATTGTCTATTTTTCCTTTTTTGTTACTATCACCACTGCATTATAGGCTTACCACAAAGTTTAGCTATAATAGGGAAGATAAATGGGTAAGTAGAAAAGGATATTAACTTTAAAAATGTGCATTTATGGAAAATTCATTAAAGTGGCGAAGAGGAAAAAAAAGGAAAGAAAGAAGAAGATTACAGGGAAAGAATGAACTATACATAAGTGTTCCACGTATTTTAGATGCATTCATGACAGTCTCCCTAACTACATACCTAACTCAACATGTGCTTATTCTATTTCAAGACTAAGACTAGATCTTTTCTGGAAGATCTTTTCCAAACAGGTACACTCTTTGATGATGATGACCAGTGACTAGGCCCGGAGGTCTTTGCCTATTTCAAATATATTGACAGTTTAAGAGCTGTTAGGAATTTGGCATCATTTGAATAGTTAAAATATATTCAAATTATGGCCCTCCCTGGTGGCGCAGCGGGTTAAAGCACAGCACTGAGAATCTGAAGCCACTTCCGCATGAGTTCGATTCCCGCCTGCCGCCTGCCCCGGAGGAGACCACATGGCGAGCCAGACCTCTCCTGACCCGCCCGCTGCTCCCCTCAGCAGTGTACTTCGTCAATCTGCCTGTTCTGCTCCCCACTCTGTCTCTGGTGAAGCCTCTCACCGTCCCTGAGCCTCTGGCCTGCACCCCAGTTCTGTATGAATAAATAAATAAATCTTTAAAAAAAATATATTCAAATTAAAGATAGTCTTTTACCAAATTAAGACAGTTGACCTTTTTAGGCATTTACACATGGAATGTTTTAAACATTGAAAGTAGCTGAAATTTTCTTAGAATCTATGATTTAAAAATTACTTTTGTGTTTCAACTTGGGCATAATACACACAGTTGGTTCTTGCCGGGTACCTTATTGGACATGATATGTCTCACACCTGTACTTGGCTGCGAGCTACTCTAGAGGATGACTGCCTTGTTCCTTCAAGATGTCCCTAATAACTCCAGAATGAACTCTATTTAAATGACCCAGTGTATAAAGATGCCCGTTGAAAACACAGGTTTGAACTGTGTCAATTCAGTTATACATGGATTTATTTACTTGATAAATATACTAGAAAATTATTTTGAAGATTTAGGACAATTGGAAAAAATTAGCAGAGGACCACATAACCTAGAAGTTCCCCCCACAAAAAAAAAAGAAAGAAAAGGAAAAAGGTTAGGTATGTCATGAATACATAAAATATATTATGTAACAGTCTATTTTAACCACTTATTAACACAAAATGCACACAAACATTTGAAATTTATTGTAACTTACCTATAAAAACACAGATCATACATGCCCCCTTGCAAGTGATAGAAATGTAAAGATGCAGTAACTGAATGAAATTAATTGTAGTGTGTACTGCACTGCTGTAATAATTTCATAGCCACCTCCTGTTGCTACTGCAATGAGCTCACGCAGTTGCCACTATCTGCTTATCCGTGAGATGCTCATCATTTCCATGTGAACAGTTCTTTCCAATAAAAAAGTTACTGCAATTTTTGAGCAGTGGATGTGGGGTAGGCTATCAATGTCACTAACCCCTACACTGGTCAAGGATCAGCTGTACTCCAAGTGAGACTCTCCCAAACATACCTTATATAATTTGGGCAAAATTCCTCTGGCCATTTTTGGCCATATACAATAATAGTTTAGACTGATTTTATGCCTGTATTTTGGATATGAATATCCATGTGAGAAACAACAAAGTATGTCCTTTTTTGAGCCTATTAATACAAACAAAATATGGGGAAAGAGGATAGAAGATCAAAAAGAGGCCCTGGGAGGAGGAATGAAAAAGATCAAGGTTTGTAAAGGGGAAGAGTGTGAGATAAAGATTTGAGTCTCTAAGTTTATGAAGGCATATTTTATGGTGCTAAGCAGCTGTTCCATTAGGAATGAACAAGAGCAAATACAGGCTCAAGTGAGAATTCTAAGAAATCTGTATAAACTGAGCAGTTATAAATATTATTTTGCAATTAATAATGGTCCTAGCAAGGAAAATTTTAATTTTATTCTATTACGAAGTTATTTGATTTCTCCTACTTATAATTTAAATGAAAAGTGGTAGATGAATAGTTTTTCCATGACAGTGTAAACGTAATCTGAATTGGCACAGGATACCCAGAATTATACCTCTTTTGACTCTATGAGCCATGATTATTATACTCCTAAAAAAGATCTGTGGAATCTCTATCCCCAGGGATATATTTTAATGAGGCGGTGCCTTTAGTGTTTTATCATTCAAACATATTCTACCTAGAAGTTATAGGCTTGAACGTCAGTTTTTCTCACATCCAGATATAGTTATCATATCTACATCTAACATTGTACATCTTTTAACATTTATTTCAAGTTGGACACTATTTACAGTGTAGTTTTTTGAAATTAGATGTTTCTCCATCTTTAAAAATAGACTTGTTTTCATCATTGTGTGCTATAGAAGAATTGATCTATTTTGTTAGTTCATGGTATACATTTACCAAAATAAAGGTAGCAGCAACCTTAAGAAGTTTACAATAAGTCTAAAATGAAGAATGAGATAAAATTATGATACCCTTAGAACGTGGCTATATAAAAATATGCTATAGAATGTAATTAATAATATGTGAAAAACAAAAGTAGATTATATATATATCCATATTATAGCACACATTCAATTGTTTTAAAACAATCAGGTATACACATATATTCAGGAATTACTGTAAAGTGGTTATCTCTGGATGAATTTGTAATGCATAAATTGTTCCTTTGTGTTTTTCTTTATTTCATAAACTAGTTACAATGAGCAAGTTTTGCTTGTGCAATTACAAACCTAATAAGCATGTTAGATCAAACATATCTACCTTGATCTGCTTTTTATCGTAGGTGAAATGGTATTTGAAGATCAGTGGAAGAGACCTTTCCCAGACATGACCAACATATCTTCTGAGACTACCCAGCAACCAGATAGGAATGTGTAGTGAGTATTAACATGAGCACATGAACTTTTAAATATTCACTGATAATTTTTTCATTTGTTTTTAAGTCTAGTTTGGCCATTTCATATGTGTGTGTGTGTGTGTGTGTGTGTGTGTGTGTGTGTACACACACACATATGCACTCAGAAGTAAGATATGTTGTTTAGAAATTATAAAACTAACATTGCAAATAGATACTATTTATGTTCTTTTCTAACATTTTTGTGTGACCTGTATATGGTGAATACACTTTTAGATGTGTTATTATATATGCACTTTTAGAGGTTATTATAAACATACAAGCTTGGAAAAAGTCATCTTCTGCCCATCTTTTCTGCTTTGAACTTCCATGTGCTTTGATAGGCTGAGGTTGTTATTGAAAAGTGTGCCAAGAAGGCATGTTTTAATAATCAAAATGGGGCAAAAGTGAATGAATGTTTACTTATTGTTACTGTTGGTTTTGTTTTACTCCTCTTGTAACTAGTGTCAGTTCTTTGCTTCACATATTTTTAGTTCATCTGTAGAGAGTGCACATGGAGATGTCTGAATTCTGGTATCCATGAGTGGCATTTTCTTCTAGTCTATCATCAGATTCTTTTGGTGAAAACAGCAATGTTGGATCTTCTTGTACCTCGCCAACTAAAATCAACACTGTCACAAACTCTCCTTTGTCACTTGATCCTAGTACTCCATTTATCTGGTAGACAGATTTTCAGCTATGATTCACCCATCCTAGGACTTTCTCACGAATGGAGAAACACACGTGCATGTGCATACATGCATACATTGAAGCAATAACAAAATGGTATGTTTTAATTGCAACCATTTCCTATTTCTCTCCTTTTCTCAATTTCCTAAAATTCTGCTTGTCTAATTCTCTATATACCCTTGAAATCGACTTTGTAATATTTCCAAGGATGCTTTCCAAAGAACTTTGTAAAAAAGCCAATCATGCATCTTAAAGCTATCATAGTATACACACGCTGTATCTTGACTCTTTTAAAAAAAGTTGATCTCTATGAATAAATAAAATTAGACCTGATGAAATGTGATTGCTCAATTAGTCAACAGGTAAAATGTTTTTTTAAATTATATACTTAAATTCCATGCTGGTTTTTAATTATATTTTTAGTAAATTGTTAGTTTTCGCTTGGTAAGTAAAAGTCACCTATCAAAAGCAGCAAAGCAGCTTTTAAAACTAAACAAGTTATACCATACTGATCTAAGGATCTGTTTTGCACATAAGTTCTTGAATGTTCAATTTGTTGGGAGGCAAGATGAATAAAGCTAATTGAATAGCAAGAAAATAATATGTAATTGAGACTTCACTCAATTTATATTTAATCCAATTATCTCTGATCAATTTTGTATTCTAATTAAGTGTGGAAAAAGACAATGTCAATAAATTGTGGTCTTTTACATTTCTATGAATTACCTTTTATCCATCATCATGACTACTGATTTGATTAAATACAGGCTAAATATGTTAGGGTTTCTCTGTGAGAATCATGTGCTCCTACTTGTTCCCTAAGAGCTATAAATGTTTGTTTAAACCCCAATTTTCTATTCAAAAGTCTTAAGGGATTTTTAATAAGAAATCATGTGTTAAAATTTTAAATCTAAAGTAATTGCTTTAAGTAATTGTAGGTAATATTAGCATTTTGAAAAATAGAAATATATTCAGTAGATCTGCCTGTTTTGCTCCCCACTCTGTCTCTGGCGAATCCTCTCATCCCTATACCTCTGGCCTACCCCCCAGTTCTTATATGCATAAATAAATAAAAATAACTCTTTTTTTAAAATGTCCTCATGAAATGAAGTTGAAAATTGGTTTAAATTTCCTCAAGCTAATGAAATAGTGGTTATATAAAATATTTACTAAATAATCAAAATGATGAAAATCTGATACATTATGCCCCAATCTGGGAAAGACTGTCACATCAAGAATTTTTGACAGTGACCTCAATAGAATTGATTAGAATGGATATTTCTATAGGGAGAGATTCTATTTACCTATGAATAAATACAACTGAATATTTATGAGATGACTGGGATCGGGATAGGCTATTGAAACTAGAACAGGATTATTCTACAAATTAGCTAGAGATAAATAACTATAAATATTACCTTTGTTACTCAGTTTCTGTACTTGCCATACCTTTAATAGACCAATTGTGAACATGAGGAACCCCATGCAATGAGATGTGACTGCAGTGATGATCCTTGCTGAAATTGTAGATCATTGACATAAAGTCCACATGTACCTTTTAGCAAAAAAAAAAAAAAGTTTTACAGAATGTTCAAGTGCAACACTAAGAATGGTGAAAGTGAAGACTCAGAGATAAGAATATGTCTCCGTTGTGTAAGGAACAGTAAACTGTGGTAATCTTGATCTCAGTATAACTTTCTCAATTCAAATAATTAATTTCACTATTGTCAGTTAGTCTTTATTGTTTTAATTGCACCCTAAGATGCCACAACTCACAATAATATGCTCAGAATCGAGGATTTTATAGTTTGTTTTCCATTATGTTGCCTTTTAAACTTGTGTATAAGAAGAATCACGATTTTCAATTTTTGATTTTCAGGCCAAAACAATTCTAACTTTCACATGGTATTTTGTGGTTGATTTTTTTATTGGTCTTGGAATAAGACTATTTTGTCATCCTAAACATAACAAAGAATAATCATGTAAGCTTTCCATAGTGAAGGACATGCATTAGTTTTCAATGGCTGTAATAACAAAATGAATAGAAACTGGGTAGGTCAAAACATAGAAATTGATCATCTCACAATTCTGGAAGCTAAAGTCCAGGATCAAGGTGTCAGCAGTGTTGATTTCTTCTGGGGGAATCTGAACAAAAATCTGTTCCATGTCTCTTCTCTAGCTTCTGGTGGTTGCTTATAGACCTATCACTCCAATCTCTATCTCTGTCATCACATGGGATATGATGCTGTCTTTATATGTCCTTCTTATAAAGATACCATTACTGAATTTAGAGATGACCCCAAACTGATACACCTCGTGTTAACTTGATTGCATCTGCAATAACCCTATTTCTAGATAAAGTCATAATCACAGGTACTAGGAGTTAGGACTTAAACATTATCTTTTGGGGGACACAGTTCAGCCCACAACAACATAATTTTAGAATTTTGATTTTGTTCATTTCATTTTCCATATATTAGTTTTTAAAATCATCTATCTTACAACTTTAAAAATGTGAGGATAAGAGGTGATCATATTGTATATAAATGTATGTCTTCCTCACATATGTATATAAATCCACTCACTTATAAATATATATTTATGCATGTGCACATAGATGCCAGTATTCATACTCACTGAAAGTACAAATGCATGAAGAAATATGTTTTTAAAATAGCTAGAAAGCCAAATTTGTGTTGTTTTAATATTCCTACTTCACTTATAACTTTATAAGAGTGCAGTAATTTCATCCTAACACAAACTTTTGCAGCAGTAATAAGTTAGATTCTCAGATCAGGGCGGAAAATATGGCTCGTAAAATTTATAATGACAGAATCAACCAATCAAGCTTACAATTTTAAGTATATTCAATAAGGATCTAATGAATCTGTATACAGTAAACTAAAATTGTAGGAAATATTAAGATGGGTGAGATACTACCCCTGACTTCAAGCAGGATAGCACAAGTACAGAAATAATGACACAGGCTGTCCAGATAATTATGATTGTAGATATATTTATGAAAGGACCCCTGCAGCATAGAAGTAGATAGACAATATTGGAATAACAGTATCTTAGAATTAAAGGATTTCAGAAGTCATTTAATCTACCTCTCAAAATAAGAATCCATCTAAGAATTCCAGACAGATTATCTTTTAGCCTTAGTTTGAAATCTTGTAGTAATAAACTGACTCCCTCACACAACAGTTTATTCATTGTTGAACAACTCTCTCTGTTAGAAAGCTCTTACATTAAAAGGGAAGGGTGGGTTTAGAATTTGTATCTAGGTGGCCTGTCTCAATGGCAAATCAAGTGAGCTATTAAAAGAGCATGAGTTAAGATTCTAATTCTGCATCAATCTTTGTCGCTGTTCCTTGAATTATTAGTACTCCCACTACAGGATATATTTAATCTCATCTCCTAAATGAATTTTTAAAATTCACCTAGAAGCAACTATATATAAATATCCATGATGAAAATGTATGTATGGTACTTTGGATATCTATGGAGAAAACTAATTACAATTTGCCTGAAGTGTTTTTAAATATTTTAGATCTTAAAAGTTGAGCTTGAAAAATCTATCATATAGGTAGACTTCACTGTCAGATAGTTCCATATCTCAAGGACTTCTTAAAACACTGTTTTCAACCCAAAACTAAGTAAGATTGGCTTTTATAAGCATCTATAACGTATAACTGGAGTGTCCCACATCATATAGAAATCCTGAAAACTTGTTCCACTTTCTTAATAGTGGAAGCTTGTCTCTCAGAAGAAATGCATTGACTGAATGCAATTATTAACTGAATAATTGCAGTTAGTTGGCCAATAAGCCATCCGTTGTAACTGGAGACCTCTGTGGCATTACTGGGGGGGTTGGGGGGGGCGGGGGTAAATCGGTAACATAATAGTTCATGTAGCCTTTTAAGGGAGTGACCAGGCTACATTATCAGTGAGCTCAGGAGTCAGGAGCTACCCATAGTAACTCCAACTCTACCACTAGCTCTGTGTGACTTTGGGCAGGTCGCTTCACTTCTCTGGTTTTCCAATTTCTAATCTGTAAAATAGACTTAGAGTAGGAATTTATAAGGCCCCTTCTGCTTCTTAACATCAGCTTCTTAACATCTGCCTTCAACTTTGTTTGCATGACAGTAAAAGTCACGATGGCATAAACTTCCAAGGGCTTTAAGAAAATATTTAGGAAATTAGAAAGCTTTATACCTAATATTTTGATTCTTTCTGGCAACAAGAAGCTCATTTTGTTCAGTCTCATCAATAGTTTCCTCTCTTCTATGAATTATGCATGATTTATGATGAAATGTGGAAAGCTAATTTCCCCCTGGTTTCTTGTTTTGTGTGGATAAATGATCCTCTCAGGACTTCCATATTAATAACAAGCTTCCACTGACAAAGCACTCACCATAAAATTTTCTCTCTACTATAACTACAGCTTGAGACAAAACAAAATAAAGATATACTTGATGTGTCTGTTTCAGAGAAGCAGTGGAGAAAAGCTACCATAACTATAAAATTGTCCCAATACACTTGGAAATGCTCAACTAGTACTCAAAAGCAGACTACCAGCAACATAGTTTTGCCTTTTTCCTCAATAAGTATTCCATGGCTATAAGAAAATCCCTCCACCCTCTGTTTGGTTTATTTCTTGGCATGGCTTTGGTGCTGGGTGACTCTCCATTGAACACAAACGAAAAAGGACACACTTGAAAGTCACAAACAGCTGGTTTATGACTTTGTGTTGAGGGAGGAACTACTCTGAAATTACATTATCCAGCGGAAGAACCTAGTTATACTTTCCATTTCTAGTCCTGATCTTCTGAGAGGAAGAGCTTAGTTTGTTCCCATAACCAGGCTAATATTAAACTACAGTGGTTTGCAACAAGTCCTATTCTTGGATGATCTTTTCTAAAGTGTGAGGTCTTTGAAAAGGAAGGTGCTGAAGCTATCATGTTGGGGCTGTCATGGGGAGTTCAGCTAAAACTCCTTTAAGCTGCATTTGGAATATATTCCCACTCCACGTTGACTCATAGAAAGCTTAA